ATATATATATATTGGTGGTATCCGTCCTTATAATACACAATAATTTAGCTAGTAGATGCCTACCTTTATACAAAATATTGCACTAGAAGTTTCTATAATAAAAAAAAACAAGTGGGTTTCAGAAGCATGCAGAATAGACAGAACATCTGTTGCTCCCCATACTAAAATCATATAACTTCAGTGTCCACCAATGGGTGTTTTTCAGCAGAAGAGTTTAGCAATTAGTCAAAATATGAAGCTGACTGACTGATTTTTAGCCCCACTTTACTAATCACTTCACATGTTTTGTGTTATTTGTGTTGCTGTATTCACAATAAAATGTATTGTCTTTCACTTAAATAGTTGTGTGATATTCCTTTGTGTATTAAACATATCTGGTCACCCAAGGCAAACAGTTACCCGCAAGTGGTCTCCTAACAGTCGAGAACCAGCAGAAATAGGCACATATTTATTTTAGTTTACTGTGTCACATGCTAATGTAGACAAAAAGGAAGATGTCACCAGCACTCCAACAACGATAATAACAGCAATTAGATGCTCATTTATTGACAGATGCTGTCTCTCATTGGCTAATTGATGTTATTTTCGTTGTTGGAGTGCTGGTGACATCTTCCTTTTTGTCTACGTGTGGCGGCACCATCCGCAGTCATTTCGAGAGCCCATCTTTTTTTGGAGGAGTCCCCGTTAGGAGTGCGGCAAGTTTTCCTTTTTCTTTTTCACATGCTAATGTAGGGCTGCCATCATTGGAATCTTCTAGAGACATAAGAAGCTGTAGGCCGGCGCCAATTAAAAACACTAGTGGCTGGTCAAAATGAAAAAATATCTTTTGAAGCTGACCTCTAACAGCATTTTTTATTTTACATAAGGGGCCCAGATAATCAACTGTGTTACTAAATGTAGAAAGGCTGCAAAGTATTTCTGTATATTACTTATGTAAAGGGTATTATGTGAATACACTGCATTGGAAAAACATTCAGATATATTTTCTTGTCTTCTGTTGTGTAGCAAATCATACACTGAAATATCATTATCTGTAATATTTTATTTAAAAATTGTAAAAGCCAAAACTTGTTTTTCAGTATTAATGCGTTTGTTTTTATATTAGAGATACATATTCTTGTTATTTGCATTCCTTTACTGCTGCCTGTAGCCTTGGTTGGGAGATTTCTCAATGCCCCGGTCCAACAAGGGTTAGGTGGTGAGTTGACCACCCCAGTTAGTGAATAGACCCTAAAGTAAATTTTGTAACTTAAAGCAAACATGTAGGCTATCCCTGCTAAGCTTCCTTCTAAAATGTTAGTTATATATAGATAATAATTGAAACTATTTTCTTATGACACCTTTTCTAAGTAACCTTTTCATGAGTAATAACTATTTACAATCTGTGATGTTGTTTTAGTAGATATGTATTTTGTTGCAGTAGAAACCACATTTTGTGTTTCATTTTATGTTATCTTAAGGTACCAATGACTAGAAAAATGTTTGCAAATAGAATCTAATGTTTGCACTTTTTATGTGCCAGGTGATTCTTTCAATTATGGTGCAATTCTGTAGTTCTATCTCCCATTAGAGGATAGACACTTCATGCATGCATGGCCTGAGATAAGCATGATAATTTCTATGCATGTGCCTGTAAAATGTGCTCATAACCTAGCTTAGTCCTTGCCCAATGAAATATCCTTTATATTAGAAATAAAACATATACAGCTTCTTCTTAAAACGGATGTGATATATTGAGCAAGTTGTCCGAGCACATAAGAGAGCTGTATATCATACTTCATTGTACCAACTGTTGTTTTCATTTTTTTTTCTCCATCTAGAAACATCCTGTACAGTCTGGATGGAAATTCATCTCAGTTCTCAGTAGTTCAGGAAGCACAAGAGTATTGCAAGATTACAAAGTCAAATGAAACACTTCTAACAACATTGCAAGAGGTGTTGAACTGCATTAGCTCTGCTCAGTTATATTTCAAAGAAAGCCTTCACCTCTTTGAGTCTGAATCAGATTGAAAAGACTGACAGATCATCTCAGTTGGTTGCCACCAAAATATTGTGTCATTTCATAAATGTCATATTAAAAAAATACCTGGTAACGGTTATTTCTAATTCTGTATGCAGTGGCAAACAATACACAACCCTTTTGTCTTTTATATATCACTGCATACAGCTGGCTGTCATTTCAAATTGTGTGATGAAACGGGGTCCAGATTTCATTAAATCTCATACAGCCTTGTTCTCCTTCCCTGATGACCTGAGAAACAAATGTGTAGGTGTTATCATTTCAAAGTCAGTCTTACAGAGTGTCTGTTCTAAGTCATGCTTCTGATGAGATATCTGATAAAGCAAGGGAAATACGAAATTAATCTAGTTCATGCAAAAGGAACTTGTAATCCACTTGCTAGCTGTATTTCGATGTTATAATGCATATTCACAAACTTAAACACAACCTATATATTGGCCATTCTAGTTTTTAAGACAGTAAAAAATTTACTTTTCCTGAACTTAGTGTTATTCCCTTACTTAGGACAGCAACCTCAAACAAGGGTACCATCAAATGCTTGTAATTTAATAATAACTCCAGCCAAAGCTTTTTGTTTTTACTTTAGCTATTGTAGGGTTATTGTAAACTTTCAGGGTGGGTTTTTATTGCCATCTAGATTTATATGATTTCCCTTAGAGAGGTTTCTTTCATTTGCTGTTCTGGTGATCACTTTTGCTGAAATAGAAAGCAAGGGGAACTCTTCCCAACAGGGACACAGGAAGCAGTTAAAATGAAGACGTGACAGGAGTTTCAAACGTTCCCTAATTCTCCAAAACAAAGAGGAAAAAAGTATTAGTGTTCTACTTTAAATGCAACTCATAGATGGAAGCTAATACCAATCGAAGGTGAACATTTCTCCTGATGGAAAATTTAATTGTAAATGTTTTCACCTAAGAGGTGCATTCCTTCTAAAAAATACACATTGCATGATAGGGTTTTTGTTACAGTTATTGCTTATATATAACACTAGGGTTTAATTTCCAAAGTGAATGTCTACTTAGCTTAGCAAGTAAGCTAAAACTGAGTTCACGTCAATCAACCAATTATGTGCTAGAAGAAAATCCTGTTTTTTTCATGACTCCCTCACACAGGATCAAGTATTTAAATTAAACACATATTCGACTCATGTTTACTACCATTCACTTTGCAAAGAGAACTTGCAATTTTAAAAGTAAACATTTACTTTCCTAACTGGTATTTCTTATATTTGGATATTTCCATCTCAGGTTCAGATGCTGTTCATCTGCATATGAGTTCACAGCTCATGATCTGCCCACAAAATGTGACTGTTACATAGACCTTTAGGCCACAGACAGACAGAAATAGGCTATGAGATCGTTTTAATAGAATAAATACATGACCATTGTGGGATTTTTTAAAGGTGTGATTTTTTCTAATATAATTGGAATTTGGTTTCTTGAAGGTTGTTTTTCCTGCATGTTGAAACTAGTAGAGGGGCTGTCACCTCATCTTTCTGCTAGCAAATGACATGCTGCCATGTTTGGTTGGAGCTTACACATAGGATGGTGAACATTTAGGAGCCCATATTCATTGTATTTATGTGGAATAAATACTAAATTTTGGGGTTTAATATAAGGATGTAGAGTCCACCAATTCATGTTTGTCAAGATCATTGAATACTGTTAATGAATATTTGTCACTATGGTCCTAATAAAGTGCCTGTATACGTGAAAAATATAATTTGTAACAATCGAATATATGCTTATACGTTTAAGTGGTCAAAATGATCAATGTATTCATATGATATGTGCCTGGTATATGATGTGTACCTGGATGATTTGATCATTTTGGCTATATGTCCACTCATGACATTTTGACCTTACATATCAATAAAATAATTTTTGTATTTTAATAACTGTTAATGATTTGCTATTTCTTGAGTCCCTTTATGGAGTCGATATTCCCAATTTCTGATAAGTTGATAGGACTTCAAGCTAGATATGTGATTATATCCTACCACTTTTTAAATCTTAAACATATTGAACATTTAGAGATTTTTTTGTTAATTTTGACATTATACATTGATTCACATTTCAAGTGTGCACTACAGCATGCCATCAGCAAATAGTTTTATATCACAACTTATAATAGGCATACACAGTACATTTTAATCTAATGCAAATAGAGATGCAGTATTTGACCTTATTTCAAAAAATCATTGGCAGTCACTATACTGACACAATTTGCCAGACAAATTTCAAAGGTCTGTACAGAGAAAGGATGGTTTCCATTCACTCTTAGTGCATAATATCAAGTGTTTCTAGATTCCAAAATGATTAAAACTTACCCAGTATGCTGGGCTAAATTAAAACATCAAACTTCTTCAAAAGCATTTGATTTACTAAAGGAATAGAGAAAGTCTGCTTTGCAAAAAAAGTGTTCACTAATCTAAGAGGAAAACCCTAAAGCCTTGGTTCTTAGCTGGTGGTTTGTGACCCAAAAGTGGGTCACAGCCCTGTGTTTTTTTTTTTTTTAAATCAAGTAATTTTTATTAAAGTTTTGCAGAGACATAACAATACAGTGACACGTTGCTTTCGGTAGAAGATGATTAAGTACAGATGCACAGAATATTGTCGGCAATCAAATCACAAACACACTAGGGAAGGGTATACAAATACAGAGGACACCGGGGAAAAAAACAAAAAGCATCTTAACAACTAGTAGGGGTACAAAGCTTGCATTAGGTTCTAGAATACGCCTCTCAACCTCCAGCTCGTGGTCCCTCCTACATCAGGGCATCCCACACGTTTGCACAACCACGTCAGAGATCGTTAACCCTATAAGCTATCTCCAAACGTCTCTACCAAGCTCCTGCAGTCTATAGCCTCTCCTGCATAGGGAGATAGGATACCAAGTACCTCCCATAGGGATAACACGTATCCCTCACCAACCTCAACTGCCACTTGAGGTAAGGTGCACGGACCTGTGTATCCATTTCGTCCATATATTATGGAACTTAGAGATCTTATCTCTGTGTTGGAATATCACTCTTGCGAACGCTATCAAGCGGTCAAGCTCCTTCATCCACATGCCTACCGTGGGAACCATTGAGGAGATCCAGTGAAGCGCAATCACCCGACGTGCTGCAAACAGGGCCCTGGATACAGCAGTCAGAGTGACATCGTCCCACAGGTCAGCATCCAGGATACCAAGCAAGCATGCATACGGAGAGCAAGAAACCTGAACCGCAAAGACTGAACTAATGATTGCAGTGACCCCACTCCAATATCTGACCAATTTGGGGCAGCGCCACAGCAGGTGTATAAGGGAGCCCGGTGCCATGCCACACTTAGGGCACTTGGCATCGGTCCGCATCCCTATTTTACACAGAAATTCCGGAGTTCTATATGTTCTATGTAGGATAGATATTTGGGTCCACCTATGTGACGATGACAAGGATGAGAGCCCAACACCTTGTAGGGCCGTCTCCCAATCCTCTTCCGAGATGGAGCCCAATTCCTCTTCCCATCGCCCCCTGCTTAAGAGCGGATACCTTACCAAAAAGCGCGGAAGGAGAAGTGCATATATCCCAGAGATCAGCCCTTTCGTATTGGTGGAGAGTACCACTGAACTCAACGATTGAAGGGGAGAGATCTGAACCCCCTTGATTCCTGGAGTGGACAAGGCATGTCTCAGTTGTAGGTACTGATAGAAGTGTGACATTTGTAGCTGATATTGCGATTGCAGCTGTGGAAAGCTTTCAATAGAGCCAGAGCAGTAGACATCTGCGAGTTTGTGAATACCCCTCTGGCGCCAAGCCTCAAAACCCCCTGAGTTTAAACACTTCTGGAAGGGCGCGATTTTGCCAAAGTGGGGTGTATAACGTGAAGTGCGATATTCCCAATAGGGTCTATGCCGAGACCCAGGCCCTGGCAATCATCCTTGGCGTTACATAGGGTGACCGCGCCAGACGTGGAGTCTCCAGCAAAGAGACCGGGGGTACACTCCCGTACATTGTGCACAAAAGTTGAGCATTGGGGGGAGGAGGAGGGTCGGAGGTCTGTGCCCACCCAGCCAGATGTTGAATTTGAGAGGCAATGTAGTAGAGCCATGGGTTGGGGAGAGACATACCCCCTTGGTCCTTTGGGTCACAGCCCTGTGTTTAGTGGGTCACCACATGCCTTCCACTTTTCTAGGTGAGAGGCTCCTCAGCCTCCCCCTAGCGCAGCACTGTCGGTTCTTACACCAAGCAGCCATTCAAAATATGCTGCTTGATGCTGAGTATCAGCTTGAGGGGGGTGGGCTAGGGCTATGGCCGTGAGGGAGCTCCATCCATAATTGCATCGCTTACAGCTCCCTTGTATGTCTTGCAGTCGAGCCTGGACTGGAGTGAAATTACATTGTGGCTCCTGGCACCTATACAGTGTGTGCAAGGGAGATGTACAAGTGGATGCACATATGCAGGGAGATCCATCACAACACAGGCTGAGAATCCACTCTAGTTCTCGTAAGGTAGGGAGACTGTGTGGATTAAAAAAAAGAAGAAAAAAAATCACTTTTTTTTGAGTGTGTATGTGTGTGTGTGTGTGTGTGTGTGTGTGTGTGTGTGTGTGTGTGTGTGTGAAAATGTCCATTAGTGTGTGAGATTGTGTTTGTTGTTGTGTGCGTCTGTCCGTGTTTTTGAGGGCCAATTTACACTCGTACAGTGTGTTAATCGCACAATCCCATGCAATTAACACACTGTACCATGCAATCACACCTACCGCACGTTCTGGTGTGGGAAGTGCAGTGAATTGCCATGTGTTTAAATGACAATCTCCAACCCTCAGTTCTATCACCCCCATGCGGAATGCGCAGTACCGCAATTAACTCAATTGCAGTGCAACTTCAGTCAGGACTTAATGACCAAGAACAAATCTGGGTCCTGAGGTTACAGGACCCACTAAATGCGCATTTGAGACCTAGCTCTGCGGGTCTACATCCCCAGGTGACCACCAATTTGTTATTAACACTCACTAAGAGGAGGTGAAGGTCTGCCTGCTTTGTGTGACAATCGTATACCTGAGAGTCTCATACAGATTGGCGGTGGATCATCTGTGGCATTTTTTTGCACGATCACGATTGTTCTTTCGTTGGGACTTCTTTGTTTTCTTTTTTTGTTTTTATGTATTATTATATTATTTTGTATGC